TGTCCAAGATTTTTGATTTCTTATGTATTATTGCAACTGGGGTCTTGATGTCTACAATTATTATGTTGCTCTGTATTTCTTACTTTTGTCAGAATTTGGTTTATATATTTTGCAGCCCTGATGTTATATACCTACATACATAATAGAGAGATATAAAAGTTTTAGATTCCTTGAGACTCAAGAGAATAATAATAATAAAAAGTTGTAGATTACTGGTAAATTAACCTATTTTATTATTATATAAATCAATTTTGTTCTCATGCTAGTACTTGACTGAAAGCATATGTGTAATATAATTACAGTTACCTCATGCAATTGTGGTTGCTATTTGGATGAAAAATACATTTTTTCTATTCTGTTACTTTCAGCCAATTCGATGCAAAGCTAAAATCAGTCTCTTGCAGGCAGCAAGAGACTGATTTTATATATTGCATGCTTTTTTTCTAAAGTCACTCAGGCATTTGATTTCTTTTTCTTTTTTATAATTTCATTTATTCATTTATTTTTAATTTTTTTTTCTTTTTGAGACAAGAATCTCACTTTGTTGTCCAGGCTGGAGTGCTGTAGCATGATCTCAACTCACTGCAACCTTCACCTCCCAGATTCAAGTGATTCTCATGCCTCAGTCTCCCAAGTAGCTGAGATTACAGGTGTGTGCCACCATGCCCAGCTAATTTTTTCTATTTTTAATAGAGTTGGGGTTTCACTGTTTTGGGCAGGGTAGTCTCAAACTCCTGGTCTCAAGTGATCCACCCACCTTGGTCTCCCAAAATGCCAAATTACAGGAATGAGCCACCATTTCTGGCCTATGTATTCATTCAGTTTAGAAATAGGGTTTCACTCTGTCAATCAGGCTGGATTTCAGTGACGTGATCATGGCTCATTGCAGCCTCAACTTTCCAAACCCTGATGATCCTCTCATTTCAGCCTCTCAAGTAACTGCATTACAAATATGTGCCAACTACCAATTATTTCCATTTCATCTCACTTTTCAAACACCACTCTGTTCTGTTTCAAAGAGTGTAACTGTTACACATGTCATACAATCTCTTTTTGTGACTGATTTCATTCTGCATAATGTTGTCAAGGCTTATCTTTATAGTTGTAAAAATATTCTCTACTTTTTGCAAACTGAGTGATATTCTAGTGCTTTTATATTTCAGATTATATTTACTAAATGATTTGGTCACAGAAATTTGCATTGCTTTTATCTATGGCTTTCAGTAACAGGCTCCAATAATTATGGGTGTGCAAATGACTATATGACCACATATGGGAAAGTTTATGTGCTATATTCTATTTTACTAGTTTACTTTCTTATCTTTATGTTTATACAAAATTGTTTTTCAGGCTGGGTGTGGTGGCTCACTCCTGTAATCTTAGCACTTTGGGAGGCCAAGTTGGGTGGATCACCTGAAGTCAGGAGTTCAAGACTAGCCTGGCCATCATGGTGAAACCCCATCTTAAAAAATAAAAAATTGTTTTTCTGTGTAGCTATGTCATGTATTTTGAAATGAAGAACTGTAGCTGGGCATGGTGGCTCACGACTGTAATCCCAGCACTTTGGGAGGCTGAGGTGGGCAGATCACGAGGTCAAGAGATTGAGACCATCCTGGCCAACATGGTGAAACCCCGTCTCTACTAAAAATACAAAAAAATTGGGCCGGGTGCGGTGGCTCCAGCCTGTAATCCCAGCACTTTGGGAGGCTGAGGCGGGTGAATAACGAGGTCAAGAGATCGAGACCATCCTGGCCAACATGGTGAAACCCCGTCTCTACTAAAAATACAAAAAAATTGGGCCGGGTGAGGTGGCTCCAACCTGTAATCCCAGCACTTTGGGAGGCTGAGGCGGGTGAATAACGAGGTCAAGAGATCGAGACCATCCTGGTCAACATGGTGAAATCCCATCTCTACTAAAAATACAAAAATTAGCTGGGCATGGTGGCGTGTGCCTGTAACCCCAGCTACTCAGGAGGCTGAGGCAGGAGAATTGCCTGAACCCAGGAGGTGGAGGTTGTGGTGAGCCGAGACCGCGCCATTGCACTCCAGCCTGGGTAACAAGAGCGAAACTCTGTCTCAAAAAAAAAAAAAAAAAAAATTAGCCGGGCGTGGTGGCATGTGCCTGTAGTCCCAGCTACTGGGGAGACTGAGGCAGGAGAATTGCTTGAACCCGGAAGGCAGAGGTTGCCAGTGAGCCGAGGTCACGCCACTGCACTCCAGCCTTGTGCCTGGTGACGGACTGAGACTCTGTCTCAAAACAAACAAACAAACAAACAAAAAGAAGTGTAATGCCTCCAACATTTTTCTTTTTTTTAAAGATTGTTGAGTATAGTCTCTTACGATTCCATATCCTTTTGGGATTACTGTTTGTTTCTTCAGAAGTGGAATATTTTTTCTAATATAAAACATAAAGACAGGGTTTCACCATGTTGGCCAGGCTGGTCTTGAACTCCTAACCTCAGGCAATCCACCTGCCTCGGCCTTCCAAAGTGCTGAGATTACAGGTGTGAGCCACCACGCCTGGCCTGAAATAAGAAATTTGAAAAATACTGCATTACATCTGTAGATTACATTGAGCAATATGGACATCTACATAATATTAATTATTTCAGCCTTTGAATAAGCTAAAACTTTTTTTTTTTGGCCTAGCAGGTGGTCCTTTCAAGAAGAGTGTTGTTTGAGCTATTGGGAAGGGTGTATATTCTGATGAACTCTCTATACCTCCGTTACAAATAATTGTTCTATACTGCCTTCAAGTTTTCTGTTCCCTTACTAATATTTCATCTTGTTTTATTTTTATTAAGAAAGTGGGGTCTTGATATATTCTCCTATAATTATATTTCTCTTTGTGTGTTTCTTCAATTCTGTTAATATTTGCTTTATATATTTGAAACCCTAAAGTGAGATGTGTGCACGAACACACACACACACACACACACACACAGACAAATTAGTCGTTGGTTCACAGTAAATGAATCTACTATTGTTCAGTGTCCTTTTATTCTCTTTCTGGAGTTTTGACTTAAAGGACATGTTAAATATGATACTTTTTGACTTAAGATGTGGCTGTGTAATATTATTTTGATCTCTTCTTCCCTCATTTGGTAATGTTTGCATAAAATTTCTACTTCCATCTTGCCATTTTAGTCTTTATCATTAGATCTCAACTAAATAGCTATATATATATATATATATTTTTTTTTTTTTTTTTTTTTTTTGAAATGGAGTCTTGTTCTGTCACCAGGCTGGAGTGAAGTGGCAGGATCTCCACTCACTGCAGCCTCTACCTCCCGGGTTCAAGCAATTCTCCTGCCTCAGCCTTTCGAGTATCTGGGACTACAGGCACGTGCCAACATGCCCAGCTAATTTTTTGTATTTTTAGTAAAGATGAAGTTTCACCATGTTGGCCAGGATGGTCTCAGTTTCTCGAGGTGATCCACCCACCTTGGCCTCCCAAAGTGCTCAGATTACAAGTGTGAGCCACCGCACCCAACCACCTCTTTGTGTTCTTATGATTGCTTTCTGAAAGTTTGATAATGTTTTTGATGGGGTCATGCTGCCCTAATATTTTATATACATTAATCTTTGAGATTTAGACATTAAAAACAAGCTAGCTGTGACAATCTTATTTTGTGTATCCTAGTTTGTTTGTTGAGCCTCTTCATTTTGACATTTTTTCTTTCAGGTTTTTTTTTTTTCTTTTTGAGTCAGGGTTTCGCTCTTGTTGCCCAGGCTAAGTGCAATGGTGCGATCTCGGCTCACTACAACCTTCACCTTCTTGGTTCAAGTGAGTCTCCTGCCTTAGCCACCTGAGTAGCTGGGACTACAGGCATGCACCACCATGGCTGGCTAATTTTGTATTTTCGGTAGAGACAGGTTTCTCCATGTTGGTCAGGCTGGTCTCAATCTGCCAACCTCAGGTGATCCGCCCACCTTGGCCTCTCAAAGTGTTGGGATTACAGGCATGAGCCACCGTGCCTGGTCCTGTCACCATCTTTATAAAGTGGCTTATACCTGGCATAGTCTGAAACCAGTTGTCTTGGCTAGAGATTTTAGGAATCTCTCAAACGTATTCTTTTTTTTTTGAGACGGAGTTTCGCTCTTGTTACCCAGGCTGGAGTGCAATGGCGCGATCTCGGCTCACCGCAACCTCCGCCTCCTGGGTTCAGGCAATTCTCTTGCCTCAGCCTCCTGAGTAGCTGGGACTACAGGCACGCGCCACCATGCCCAGCTAATTTTTTGTATTTTTAGTAGAGACGGGGTTTCACCATGTTGACCAGGATGGTCTCGATCTCTTGACCTCGTGATCCACCCGCCTCGGCCTTCCAAAGTGCTGGGATTACAGGCGTGAGCCACCAAATCGTATTCTTAGAATGTATTTTGCCTGAAATTTTGTGGGCTTTTAAGCTGAAGAATTATGTTAGTGTTTCTTCTAAATAGTAATCACTTGCACACCTGTGCCCTGTCTGTGGTGCTGCAGTCTCTCTGCTGCTGTATCACTTAACTTTGGTCTCAGCAGACTCAAACTGTCATTCCAAAGTATACCACCATTTCTTTTAGCACTTTGTGTCATGGGAGACAGAAGCCAGTGTCAGAAAAGGTGCCTAAGAACCAGAAATAAAGATGTATGTGACGCTATTTTTTTTAGTCATTTAAAAAGGAAATTAGGATTTGGCAATTTACATGTGAAGACTGTATTATATTGGGCAGCAAAAAGAGCTGTGCCGGGTAAATGTAACAGACTTTTTTTATTCTCGTATGTGGCTCTTTGCATCGTCCTCACCTGGGGCACTGCAGACGCTTAACTCATTTGTAAATTTTTTACAAATGTATTTTGGTCAGAATGTTTTTGTTATATTTATATATCTATAAAGGATTTAGGATCTGTGGTATTTTGTAGTTTATATAAGTTAGATTTGTGGTTTATATAAGTTAGATTTGTAAATGATATTCATCTGAGCCTAGTAAGTGGAATAATTTGTTATTTTCATTTCTTTCAGTTATATATTCTGATTTTGCCAAAGACCTTTGGCCTGAGCAAGATATAAAAAATACTTTCCAACAAGTAATTCTGACAAGATACGGAAAATGTGGCCATCAGAATTTACAGTTAAGGAAAAGCTGTAAAAGTGTGGACGAGTGTAAGGTGCACAAAGGAGGTCATCATAACGGACTCAACCAGGGTGCGACAGCCACCCAGAGCAAAACAGCTTATTATGAGAAATGTGTGCAAGTCTTTCATAAATATTCAAATTCAAAGAGACGTAAGATGAGACATACTGGAAAAAATCATTTCAGATGCAAAAAATGTGGCAAATCATTTTGTGTGCTTTCACAGCTATCACAACATGAGGTAAGTCATGCTGGAGAGAAACCCTACAAATGTGAAGAATGTGGCAAAGCTTTTAAAAAGTCCTCAACCCTTACTAATCATAAGATAATTCATACTGGACAGAAGCCCTACAAATGTGATGAATGTGGAAAAGCTTTTAACCAGTCCTCAACTCTTACTAGACATAAGATAATTCATACTGGAGAGAAACTCTACAAATGTGAAGAATGTGGCAAAGCCTTTAACCGGTCCTCAAACCTTTCTAAACATAAGATAATTCATACTGGAGAGAAACCTTACAAATGTGAAGAATGTGGCAAAGCTTTTAAACAGTCCTCAAACCTTACTAATCATAAGAAAATTCATACTGGAGAGAAACCCTACAAATGTGAAGAATGTGGCAAAGCCTTTACCCTATCTTCACACCTTACTACACATAAGAGAATTCACACTGGAGAGAAACCCTACAAATGTGAAGAATGTGGCAAAGCCTTTAGTGTATTCTCAACCCTTAGTAAACATAAGATAATTCATACTGAAGAGAAACCCTACAAATGTGAAGAATGTGGCAGAGCTTTTAACCGGTCCTCACACCTTACTAATCATAAGGTAATTCATACTGGAGAGAAACCCTACAAATGTGAAGAATGTGGTAAAGCCTTTACCAAGTCCTCAACTCTTACTTACCATAAGGTAATTCATACTGGAAGGAAACCCTACAAATGTGAAGAATGTGGCAAAGCCTTTAGTATATTCTCAATCCTTACTAAACATAAGGTAATTCATACTGAGAAGAAACCCTACAAATGTGAAGAATGTGGCAAAACTTTTAACTACTCCTCAAATTTTACTAATCATAAAAAAATTCATACTGGAGAGAAACCCTATAAATGTGAAGAATGTGGTAAAGACTTTATTCTGTCCTCTCACCTTACTACACATAAGATGATTCATACTGGGGAGAGACCCTACAAATGTAAAGAATGTGGCAAAGCCTTTAACCAGTCCTCAACTCTTATGAAACATAAGATAATTCATACTGGCGAGAAACCCTACAAATGTGAAGAATGTGGCAAAGCCTTTAACCAGTCCCCAAACCTTACTAAACATAAGAGAATTCACACCAAAGAGAACCCCTACAAGTGTAAATAATGTGTTAAAGCATTTAATGTATTTTCCACTTTTATTAAAACACAAGATAATTCATACTGGAGAGAACCCCTATAAATGTGATAAATGTGGCAAAGCCTTTAACCAGCTCTTAATCCTTACTGAACATAACATAATTCATACTAGAGAGAAACCAGCAAACGTAAAGAATGTGCAAGCATTTAACTGATCCTCAAATCTTACTAAACAGAAAATGTATACTGGAGAGAAGCTACAAACCTGGAAGACATCAGTAATTTTGACAACACCTCAAACTTCTAAACATGAAAGAAATCGTACTGGCGAGAAACTTTAAAAATGTAAAAAATGTGACAAAACCTTTAAATGATTGTCACACTTGATTGTAGGTAAGATCATTCTTACTAGAAAAACTCTTACAAGTGTTTTTTTTTTTTTGAGACAGAGTTTTGCTCTTTCACCCAGGCTGGAGTGCACTGGCATGATCATTGGCTCACTGCAATCTCCACCTTCCAGTTTCAAGTGATTCTCCTGCCTCAGCCGCTAAAGTAGCTGGGATTACAGGCACGCGCCACCACCACTGCCCTCTACCCCGCTAAGTTTTGTTATTTTCAATAGAGACAGGATTTCACCATGCTGGCCAGGCTGCTCTTGACCTCGTGATCTGCCCGACTCAGCCTTCAGAAGTGCTGGGATTACAGGCATGAGCCTCTGCGTTCAGCCAAAATTTTTAATGAGTACTCACACCTTATTGCCAGGAAAGCATCTATACTTAATAAAAATTATACAAATGTAAAGACTGTGAAAAAGCCATTAATATCTGCTCACACCTTACTCAACTTCAGAGTACTTAATAAAAGCATTGTAAATTCAATAACTGTCAAAATATCTTTCAGAAAATATAAGCTTTTAAAGTAAAGAAGAATATTTATTTTGGGCCAGGCACGGTGGCTCATGTCTGTAATCCCAGCACTTTGGGAGGCCGAGGTGGGAGGATCATGAGGTCAGGAGTTCGAGACCAGCCTGGCCAACACAGTGGAATCCCATCTCTACTAAAAATACAAAATTAGCCTGGCATGGGTGGCAGGCACCTGTAGTCCCAGCTACTCAGGAGGCTTGGGCAGGAGAATTGTTTGAACCCGGGAAGTAGAGATTGCAGTGAGCCAGGATTTTGCCATTGCATTCCAACTTGGCAACAAGAGCACTCTGTCTCAAAAAAAAAGAATATTTATTTCAAAGACAAACATTACAAACAGAAAGAGGATTATAGTACTTTTACTTGTATCACGGATCTTGTACATTTTGTACTAGAGAAATCCCTAAAGCAGTCGCTTAAACTTTTGTTCAATATCAGGGAATTTAGATTGGAGAAAAATCCTGCAAATTTGAAGAAAAAATATCTAAAACTATAACTTAGACAACACCAGAAGGTTCATACTAAGATATATTTTTGCAGATGCAATATATATTTAAAACATTTAATCCAAAATTAAGTCTATGTAAATATCAGAGAATTCACAGTAGAAATATCTAAGGTACTGACATTTCAGACATTACACTGTATCAGTGCTGAAGATAAAACAATCCAAACTAACATTGGTAGATACATTTATTTGTATATAACTTTAAGAGGAGTAGAAAATTTTTTGAAAGGTTGTAATTACATTCAAAGTATATTTTTTTCCTTGAAAAGAAGTACAGATTTTTTGAAAAGCTAATAATGATGTAATTCAACTCTCAAATTATTTCATGCTATTTCTTAATTTCTATTGTATTCACATGTGAAAGCATGTGATCAGTTGTCATTGCATCAAAGATATAAGAGATTTTTTATTTTTAGGTAGACATTATTTATGATGTTTTCCATGGAAGAGTAAGGACATTAAAATGTAACGTGCATGATGAAAATCTAAGTGGAGAGGATATTTGTGGTTAACTTATACTGAGTGGTGCATGAGGTAGTGTGCAGAGTAGTATTCTTTTGCCTTATAGTGAGAGAAACATTTTTAAGTTTTGTTAAACTTAATAGTGTATCATTTTACTTCTTGTACTTTTAGGTAATAAAATGGAATACATTTAAAATTTTTCAGATGGCATGTGAACTTAATTTTTTAATTAAATATTTTTAACATGTTAAGACTATCATGTATTCAATGAAGCATTATTATGCCACTAACTTAAACCTATCCCACCTTACTCAAGGCGGGTGGATCATGAGGTCAAGAGATCGAGACCATCCTAGTCAACATGGTGAAACCCCGTCTCTACTAAAAATACAAAAATTAGCTGGGCATGGTGGCGCATGCCTGTAGTCCCAGCTACTCGGGATGCTGAGGCAGGAGAATTGCTTGAACCCAGGAGGCGGAGGTTGCAGTGAGCCGAGATCGCGCCATTGCACTCCAGCCTGGGTAACAAGAGTGAACTCTGTTTCAAAAAAAAAACAAAAAACAAAACAAAAAAAAACTATATATAAGTATTAAAAATACATTTTTGAGTTCTAAATAAATTTTTTAAAAATTTGTTATATATACATTTTTGAACATTTGGCCTCTCTGCCTGCAAACACATATGACTTAGTTTTGATTTACATAAAGTTAAATAAACACATACATTGTTCTTAAGATAAACCTTAGGTGTAAGAAAATTATGAAGTATGTGTCTTCTTGTGGGTATGAGTTTGTAACTGTTTTCAAAGGAGCATTATTGAAACAAAACAAATCATTTTAATAAGATGACTAATTTACTGGGAAACTAAACACCACAAAAAATCTGAAACCAAATGTATACACTTTGCTTTGTATTGAATTTATTACTGTAATATGGCTTATGGTTTAGAATCTCCCTATGCAGATTCTCTGTTTTAACTTGCCTAGTATGTATGCTAGACCCATAATCAATTTCTTATAATTTTTTTGTTGAATAGTTTATGAAGTATTATTCATTATGTGATCTCATCAGGGATTACAAAAATGTTTTTTATGAAATTCAGTAGTGCACACAATAATTTTTAGATGTAATTCCACAATTAGTTTAATAAGTTATGTTTTATTTAGTTAGAACTTTCCATTTTGTTCAATTGAAGAACCCTATATAAGCCTACTTTTATTTTTTTTCCTTAAATATGAATTAGTCATAAGCCTAGTTTTCTTTAGTTATTGTTCCTTTCACTTTTTTTTTTGAGATGGAGTTTTTTTCTTGTTGCCCACACTGGAGTGCAGTGGCGCGATCTCCCCTCACCGAAATCTCTACCTCCCAGGTTCAAGCGATTCTCAGTCTCCCAAGTAGCTGGGATTACAGGCATGCACCACCACACCTGGCTAATATTTTGTACTTTTAGTACAGACGGGGGTTTCTCCATGTTGGTCAGGCTGGCCTCGAACTCCTAACCTCAGGTGATCCACCCACTTTGGCCTCCCAAAGTGGTCGAATTACAGGCATGAGCCACCAAACCTGGTCCTGTTTGTTTTGAGATGGTGTCTCACTCTGTCACCCAGGCTGGAGTGCAGTGGCTCGGTCTTGGCTCACTGTAACCTCTGCCTCCCGGGTTCAAGCAATTCTGCCTCAGCCTCTTGAGTAGCTGGGATTACAGCCACCTGCCACTACCCTCGGCTAATTTTTCTGTATTCTCAGTAGAGATGGGGTTTCACTATGTTTGCCAGGCTGGTCTCAAACTCTTGACTTCGTGATCTGCCTGCTTCAGTCTCCCAAAGTGCTGGGATTACAGGCATGAGCCACTGCAGCACCCAGCCAAGGCTGTTTTTATGTATAAATGTAGCAAACCAACATGATAGTGCTTGCTGTGTCACAAATGCTTTATATTAAGCCATTAATATTTCTGCTGGAGTTAGTTTGTAACTTCAAGTCAGAGATGGAAAATATCAAATACAGCATGGAGAAAATATAGCATGGATTCTTTATATGGAGAGGACATTTTGTTCCAGGCTACAAAGCTGACTTGCTGAATTTAAAGAAAAATTCTACTTCTTATATTATTTCTAATTATCTTTAGGTTTTTTTTTTTTAAATGGAGTCTCGTGCTGTAACCCAGGCTGGAGTGCAGTGGCCCGATCTCGACTCATTGCAACGTCCACCTCCCTGGTTCAAACAATTCTCCTGCCTCAGCCTCCTGAGTAGCTGGGACTACAGGCGCACCACCATGCCCAGCTAATTTTATGTATTTTTAGTAGAGACGGGTTTTCACCATGCTGGCCAGGCTGGTCTTCAACTCCTAATCTTGTGATCTGCCTGCCTCAGCCTCCCAAAGTGCTGGGATTACAGGCATGAGCCATCGTGCCCAGCTATTATGTATATTTCAACTATATGTGCATCACAGCTCCTCTTTGTGTTTCTGCTATGGCTGTAGTTTTCTCACTGTTCTTTTATGCCATGTCATTTTACATGGTACTTTGTAGGGTTTGATGAGAAAGTAGGTCTTTTTAATGCACTAAAATATTGGTTATAACTGTAGAGTTTTCTTATCAATATAACTTTCAGATTAGTTAATTAAGATAGAAGGCATACACTGTCCACAGGCGAGAGGATTGAATCAGTTAGCATTATTTTTATCTGTAAAGGAAAATTCATATTAGATTTTTACACAAAGTGTAGCAAATACAAATATATATGTATATATATAAAACAGAGCCACGCTCTCAGTCGAATATATCTTAGAAATTCAAAGTTTAGAAGTTTAGAAGGCAAATAAAGAATTTTAAATTTAATTTTCTATGATACAGCATACCTTACATTTTCTTGTGGAATCTTCTATTTTTAAGCATGAATGTTAAACATTGCAAAATAATAAAATGACTTGGGCTGGGCACTGTGGCTCACACCTGTAATCTCAGCAGTTTGGGAGGCTGAGGAGGGTAGATCACTTGAAGTCATTAGTTTGAGACCAGCCTGACCAACATGGAGAAACCTCGTCTCTACTAAAAATACAAAATCAGCCGGGCATGGTGGCACGTGCCTGTAATCCCAGCTACTCCGCAGGCTGAGGCAGGAGAATCTCTTGAACCTGGGAGGCAGAGGTTGCGGTGAGCTGAGATCGTGCCATTGCACTCCAACCTGAGCACAAAAAAAGAAAGAAAAATTAAAATGAGGCCAGGTGCAGTGGCTCATGCCTGTAATCCCAGCACCCAGCAGTTTGGGAGGCTGAGGTGGGCGGATCACCTGATGTCGGGAGTTTGAGACCAGCCTGACCAACATGGAGAAACCCTGTCTCTACTAAAAATACAGAATTAGCCGGGCATGGCGGTAAATGCCTGTAATCCCGTCTGCTTGAGAGACTGAGGCAGGAGAATCTCTTGAACCTGGGAGACAGGTTGCGGTGAACCGAGATTGGGCCATTGCACTTGAGTCTGGGCAACAAGAGTGAAACTCCGTCTCAAAAAACTTAGATAAATAAAATAAAATGACCTCCATGAATTTGAAATTTGAAATGTTTCTTTTCCATATTGATATTATAATCTGGAGAAATTTCTAATTCATATAATTTTTTTTAGTGAGTGAAGTACAGTATAGCCAACTCCTTGGTCATTATCTCTGAAAAATTTTGGAAATTATGGCAACTATTAGATTAAAATATTTCCCATTATTTTGCATGCAAACTTGCTTACTGTGTTCACAGTCATGGGACAATAAACACCACCTGCCCATTTACTGTTTTTCATACCATTACCATCAGCACCAGAAACTCCAGGGGCCCCAAGCTTAGAAGTCCTAAACTCCATTGGCTCCTCTCATACATCATGCTGTGTCCAGAACATGCTAGCAAAGATCACAGTTTCTATGGTTATGGCTGAAAATTTATGTGAAAAAAAAAAAAACACAAAAATTATGTATTTTGGATACTGTTCAGCCAAGTTAATGACATACAGTATTTGAAACACTGTTATTCTTCTATGATGTTTAAAAACCTTTTTTAACTGGACAGATGAAACATGTATTCTGTGAAACATGATGCTTTGAAGTATACATACATTGCCAAATGCTTAATTCTAGGTAGTTGATGCTTTATCTCACATAGTTAACATTTCTGTGGTGAGAGCTTGTAACATCATGGTATCATTTTTCAAAAATATAAATATTATAAACTAAAATCGGGGCCAGGCGCGGTGGCTCAGCACTTTGGGAGGCCGAGGCGGGTGGATCACCAGGTCAAGAGATTGAGACCATCTTGGTCAACATGGTGAAACCCCGTCCTATTAAAAACACAGAAAATTA